CGTGCATTAAATGTTCGAGGATTTAATTTTTTAATTCCCTAGGGTGCATAAAATGACCCTACAGAAGGATGTGATATATTTTTGCTCGACAAAATCAAAAAAAACGAGCATTAAATGTTCGGGATTCGAGAATTAAATGCAGAAGCTTCTACCACGTAAAAATGAAGGCACTCTGCTCGAGGCTTGTGCATCATATATTGCCCTCCTTGTGAACCAATCAGGGGTCCTCCCTCTAAGGGACCTAGTTGTCCGCAATGATTAGCTTCTAGGAGGTATAAATAACACTCTCAAACTCAAGTCTCAAGTATGCAACCTTTTACTCAAGCAGTAGGATAATGTTTCGAACCGTCTCTCAAATACTGACTTGATTGTCGGAAGGGTCAAGCCGAAAAATACTCCGGTACCCTTCTTTTTTTTAGTGACAGGATTCTGTTCAAGAACTAACGCGTGAGTAGATCATTTGTAGAGAGTTCCATCACCGCTGATTATGTTTTTTCAGTAGCCATTCGCTGTGGAACACTCTACTTCTCAGGCAAATCTGAGCTCACCAGGGGAGAGATTTGTCATTTTATTCATTGTGCTAGAATCATCCTGCACAATCCTAATTAACCCAAACTACATAGGAGTGTGATAATGTGTTGTATTTTTCAAATTTGTGTTTGAGGTGGATCTATTAGAAAAATAAAGTGTTCAACCAAATGACAACAATAGGAGATTAGAGCCACTAACTCAATAGTTTAATATGGATCTTCAATTGGATTAATACAATGTGTTTTTCTTAATCAAAACTATTGATCAATAGTAAAAACTAGTGAGTTTCAAATTGGTATTATTCTTTGATTCTTATCTTGGCGGCAATGGCGACGGTAGTGGGGTGACGATTTTCATGGTGGTAACAACGGTGGACTTAATCAGTGATGGAGTGTGTGTGAAGATCAGATGAACTTAATCAATAATGGAATAGATATATAAATAGGGTATTTTTTTTCACTAATAGGGTTGCAATGCAATAGATGGGGTTGTGAATCAGGACCGACTCGAGACAATTTTGGGCCTAAAGTGATAATTTTAAATAAGATTTTTTATTTTTTCAATTAATAATTATTCATCTTACTTATTGTATCCAAATTTCACTAACATATTCTATTTAATCAATAGTGATGGTGCTCGAAAATACTCAGTCCAAGTCTAGATCAGTGGTTCACAAGATGGGGAGGAGTAGTATGAATGTTCTAAGCTAATAGAGAAAATGTCTGAGATTAAAGACAATATATAAATGGTTCACCCTAGTCGAAAGACCAGTGCTACGTCCACTGTAATGAAGGTTTTTGCTTCGTAGGGTTTATATTACTTGAAGAAGAAGATTACAGTGAGTTTATTAACTTAGAGCTTTACTGATCAACGCCTTGTGAGTAGAGGTTTTTCAAATAGATTTTACATAGTGTCATGGTGTTCTATTTATACAAGTGGTTATCTATGGTTTTCTACAATCTTTTTCTTCCTTCGGCTGATTTTGTGGTCCCCTACTTTTTTTCTTGTAGTGGCGATTGTTACCTGACACAAACCATATCCATGGTCCTTCAATGGAATGTGCACAAATATTCTCTTTACTAGTGAGTACACGTTTGTTAGAGGCTCTAGAAGTTGTCCCTTGATCCCCTGGACAGTATTTGGGGTCTGGTGAATATCAAGCTCCTTGCTCCCAGCTATTTACCGCTAAGCTTGTTGTAACCGAGTAGGATTGTGCCAAGATGGACTCTTTGTTGGGCTCCCTCCTTTGGATTATGACTCATTCCTTATTGAGGAGTAGATGGGTTGTGGAGGGGTCTCTTGGGCTGTTATGAGACCGTTGGGCTCATTAGATATTTTGGGTTTAGAATGGGTAGTCCAACCTAAACTATTATCAATTGCCCCTCAGACCCAGGTCACGAGGATGACGTCAAGCTTTCGCTTGGGTTAAATACGTTTTTTTTAGGGCCATGATTTCTTCCACGGATGACAGTTTCACCTGATCATTAGCGCTGCCTTAGGACATGTTTGGTTAATTCGTGCTGGCTTCGATGGGACAGACGTGCTCGTTTGGGGACACGTGTCACCTGTAGGACGATCTCATAAAGCGGATTTTTTGCATGTTCCTCTCCATGTCCCATCGTGGTAATCAATGCTGCGTATAAAAGGAAAAAAAATCTTGATCTTTCCTATTTGCATTTTGAATCTCTTCCTTCTCGCGTTTCCTCTTCCTTTTTCTTGTTTTTGAAGTAGTTGTTCTAAGTTCTTGGTGACTCTAGGGTCCTGCGTTTTTTGTTCCTTTGCGATCCAATTCTAGCTTCTGGTTAGGTACGTTTCTTCTTTCTTTTTATTTTTCTTCGATCTGGATGCCTTCAACCATCCCTGGTGGGATTTCGGGTTCCGTTTCCTTATTTGGAGATTTAGTTGCTTTTGGAATTGCTCTAGAAATTTTGCATCCCTTTCTCAATTTGTAGATTATCCCCTACTGCTGAGGTTATTCTTATTTAGGACTTGGTGTTTGACTCCTTTGTTATTAACGAACTTTGCTTTGCACTTTGAGCTCCAATTTGGGCCAATCATGGGGATGGTGGTTTTTGACTCCGAATTCGAGGATAAGGGCACTGAAGAAGTCTCGACGGCTTTTTCTAGTGGCTATTCTGAAGAGGCGGCGTCCTCTCCCATGGATAGGGAGGAAGTTCCCACTACTGGTGATGTTTTAGTTAGGGACGACCAGTTTTCCACATCTTTAGCAGAAAATTTTGAATTCCTTCCTAGGGAGCCAATTCAAGAGGCCATGGGCCCGGGCCTTGAGCTTGATCTCTTTAGGAAAGGCTCCTTTTTGGAAGAAAAAATCTAGGGGGTGCTTCTACTTCTAAAGCTAAGAAGATAAAGACTCGTCCGGATCTCTCTAACCTCATGTGTTGCATTGAGTCGACCTTAAGTCATCTCGACAAGGAGAATTTGGTGGATCTGAGGGAATATTATTCATTTTCTTAGTCTGTTTTACTCCATTCTCCTAAGGAAGATGAGAGGTGCAACTTTAACATTCCTTAGATGACCTATTTCTTTGAGTCGGCCTATCGTGTTGGCCTTCAGTTTCTTGTTCATCCCTTTATTTGAGACATTCTAGCCTTCTATATTGTTTGTCCAGCTCGACTGTCTCCAAATAACTAGGGTTTATTGGTTGGCTTCCTTATTTATTAGTTTGAGAGCAGAAATACTCTCCACCTACGATTCATGAGTTCATCTCCATTTTCTAGCTTAACTCTTCTCATTCAATGGGTATATTTTGCTAAGCGGGTGAAGGCGAAGAGTTTAAAATTTGGGCTCTTGTCCTCCAACAAGGGGTGAAAACCGAGGTACTTCTTTGTTGAGGGTGAGTCCTAGAAATTATCAAGAGTACCTAGCGATGTTCCTCGCATTCCTCGGTCCTGGGGAGTCCCAATGAACACCCATAAGGATAATAACTAGTCATGCTTTTCCTTCTACCTATTAGCAAGATTTCTAATTTTGGTTGTAGTTCTAACGCGTGATTTAATCTGCAGGTTTTTGTTCGGCTCTTGACGCCGAGGAAGCTGCAAGGGTAGGCAAGGTAGAAGCTTCTGGCTTGAGGTCTTTTCTGGACCTTGTAACTAAGGAGAATCTTGCCAAGTACGAGCTTGAGCCCCTTGCCAATGCGCCTCTTGCTTATATCTCTGATCCTTACCTTCTAACCTGCCTGAGCGGATTGATCCAGACCTTATTATGGCAAATTTTTCTGATGCTGAGAAGACTAGGAAGAAAAGGAGGAGGCTGGTGAAGAGTTTCGAGCTGCCCCCAAGGAAGGGCATGTGTTCACTTATTTGGAGCAAAAACGTGAGGATCTGGCCTTTCTCGAGGGTGTTGTCTCCTCCTCAATGCCCCCCCGAGCCCATCAAGAAGGCGATCTCTCTAGAGCAGCCCTCTTCATCAATAGTGCCTCCTATTCTCCCTCAATCATCTCTGCCAAAAGAAAAAAAGGGTGAACCCAGCCTTCCCTAACCAATTGTTTAGGGTAGTGGTTTCCTCCGCGACCCGAAGGCAGTTGTGAGTGCTTTGTCTGAGCTGGTCTCCACATTGGATCCTGAGCTACCCATGCGGGTTCCCTTGGAGAGAAAGACTAAGCACGCCATCTAGGGCCTTGCTGAGGTACCTCATATGAGCATCTTTTTTGATGTATTTTTACCTCTTGTTTATATTGACTACTTCTTCTTTCTTTAGTCATTGGCGTGTATAAAAATGATGGAATTTTACCATGGTTGGCTCGCAACTCAGTTGGCTGCCAAGGAGGAAAAATTGGTAAAGGTGAGAAACATTGCTGAGGTTGTAGAGGTTGGAAAAAGCCTTGCTAAAGGAAGGGTGTCTGTCCTAGTTACCGAGGTAGCCGAGCTAAAGAGGATCTGCGACAAGTTGAACACTCGTTATTAGGTATATGCCAAGTTGAAGGATAACCAGTTGAAGATCAGGGACGAAGAGCTAGTGAAGAAGAACACTGAACTGGTGGCGTCGAACGCCGAAGTGGCGTCTCTAAAGGCTAAGGTTGCTGAACTCCTAAAGAAAAAATGCAACTGACTTTGTGAAGAGGTTCATGAACTTTCAAGAGCAAGTTGAGGATGCGTATCCTAATCTCGACCTAGATTCCTTCGTGCCACATCTTGGGGCAAAGAAAACGGCGAAAGTATCCACAGGAGCCACTACCGAGGTGGCCAGTGTTGGCAAGGAAACCTCGAATGGACCTATGGGGAGGGGGATGGAGGTTGGCACTGAGAAAGCTGGTGCCAAGATGGTTGGGACCAAGGTGTTTTGGGCCGAGGAGGTTGGTGCAGGCAAGGAGCTCGTTGTTGGGGCGACTAATGAGAGCAGAGAGACTACCGTTTGATTTTCCTTCTAACTGTTGATAGCTTTCCTTTGTTGTAACAAAACTTCTGTACGTGTTGCTCCCTTTTTAATGTACTTTCTTGGTTTTTAATAAAGCTTCAGTGTTCTTTCCTGCCTGTCCACTCTTTCTTTCTTGCATGTGTATGTCGTTACTTTTTCCTGTTTCTTTTAAAAGTAATAGTCAACAAAGCCTATTTCATGCTGTGCTGCGACCTGGGTGCCTCGAGTAGAGCTGCTCCTTTACCAAGATGATTTGGGTTGTTTGGGGCTATCTTGCTTGCTGATGCTATTTTGGACCTTTTTCATTCCTTTTCAGTTGGGAATGTGCGCCGTCAATGATGAAAGGGGCTCCTTGAAAGTAGTGCCCACTTCTCATATGACGGCCATATGTCAATGGCATTAAATGCGATTTACACACATTAATGGCACCCTGCAGATGTGATGTTTGCCGGCTAGTGGTCCTTATAAATAGTCCCCTCAGTGAATGGTTCTTCTAGATTGGTGTTGAAGTTTTTCCCTTTTTGTTCCAAATTTTTGCTTCAAAGCTCCTTTTCTGCAACTTGTTTCTTCTTCTATCTTTATGGCACAAACACCCACTACTTACCATGACACCAACAATTGGTCTACCCCGACGTTGAAAGTAGTGAAATTGATAGTGACGAGTCTCAAGCGATTGCTAATCGCTACGCCTTTTCCAGTGGGGTAGTCATTTGTGCTATAGAATGCAACTTATATCATCTTTCCATGAGAGGTTGGGTTTGCTTTTTTGAAGTCCTTTTCCAGCTGGGGCTACGGTTCCCTATTGCTTCATTTGCAAGAGAAGTGCTGCATTTCTTCGACTTTTGCCCTGCTATGTTACTTCCAGCTGGGTGGGCAATTTTGTTGGCTTTCCTTGTGTTGTGGGAGTAGATGTTTACTCGTCGTCGAGCCACCCTGATAGAGTTTCTCAACTTCTTTCATCTGGTGGAATTTCTAAATTTTATTACTTTGCTCCGAGACAAGGTGGAGAGATTTTGATTACTGACCTCCCTTTTGAGCCTAAAGGGTGGAGGATGAGGTATTTTTTCACATCCAGGACAGGCTGGGATTTTGATCCCCAGATGATGTCACCAATCAGAATTCCCACAGTTTGGGGGAGGCGTAGTCACCTTGGTGAGTTTCCTCTTTATTAATCTGGTCCTACCACAGTAGTTAGCATCTAACTTGCCTTATGGCTTTATTCTTTTGTGTTGTAGGTGAGTACCCGATCTTGACTAGAGAGAGACAATCTCGGGTTAACCATGTTCGAGCTCGGTTGCCCTTTTATTATACTAAGCTAGTGTATCCCGAACTTGCTTCGGTCCTAAGCAATCGTGAGTATTTGCTGTTCTTTCCTTATCGTACTGTTTTTGATGTGTTCAACTAAGCTTACTTCCTAACTGCCCTTCTTGTTCAGTTCTTGCGTACTTGACTAGCCAAAGAGATGTGATTATGGAACAAGTAGGCCAGAAAAGACGAGCTTGGGGGCCAGGATCTTCGGGAAAGAGGGCTAGACTAATAGACGATAGCTCGACCCCAGCCTCGAGCTCAACTGCCGAGCCCGAGGTTCCACCTACTGTTACCGAGGCATCAATGGCCTCACCAACACCAAGCTTCTCTCCCACACCTAAGGTATTACTTGGTGCTGTTAAAGCGTCGGTATTTGAAACCGTGCCCATCATTGAGGAGGTTCTGGTGTCTGAGCCAATATTTAGAGCTGAAGAAGCAACAGTGGACACAGTTGCATGCGATCGAGTAGGAGGGCCAGTTCGGCGTGGTTCCTCCTTTGTTGGAGTAGCGGGTCCCAACTCGGATCAGCCTACTCTGGGTCTATTTGTTGATCTCGAGGGGAGCCTATTGGATGACGTGACTTTAAGTAGTTGAGCGCTTATAGAATTGATTCCCTCAATAGATGTTCATCGCTCTATCAACCGACCTTTCCAAGCTAGGAGTTGAGTTGCCCTTCACGCACTTCTCGAGGTAGGGTTTGTCTTTTCTTTGACTTCCCTTGTTTCAACTTTGTAATGTCTTAATTCCTACTTTGGCATTAGACGGTGACACACGTCTGTGCCCTTAGAGGGGAGGTTCATCATCTAAGGGAAGAAGCTCGTTGGAGGAGTACTGAGCTCCAAGAGGCCCAACAATGGGGTGCCGAGCTCTTGCATTGGGGTTTAGCTGCAGAATCCGAGCTGGAAACTACTCTCGATCAAAGAGCTTGAGTTTTTCGGCAGCTAATCACCATTGCTATTTCTGAGATCTCTCTGCAGGAAAAATTGAGAACCCAATCGGAAGAATTGGCCTGATTGTTGCATGATTTCAACTTCCAAGCAGAAGAGCTGATCTCATTTGAAACCGACAAGGTAGCATTGATGGTGTAGCTAAGAGAATCTCCTGTTGTGATTGCCGATCTGAATAACTCTTCAGCTGTTGAGCACCGGTTGGTCAAGGAGCAACACAAGGAAATTGAGAAGGCCAAGATGGAGGCTACCAAGGCGTTTGTAGATGGGTTCTTTAACTTCACAGATCAAGCGATTAAGAATTTTCCTGACCTTGACTTCGATCAATTTGAGCCTTGATTTGACCTTCCCCCTAACGACCCTTTCAATTCTGCTTCGCCAGCAAGCCAATCTTGATGGTTTTTTTTTTGGAAATTGTAACTCTTCTTGTTTACTGAAATGAAGAACACTTAACTTGTTTCTTATATTGCTGATTGCTTGTTGTGTTCTCCCTTTGCCCCCAGTCCAAGGAGGTCTTGACCTTGTTGGAGTTTGGTTGCTAATTTGCCCTCCATGCTCGATCTCCATAATCCTATGATGTGTAACCGCGAGTTGTGCTAAACTGACCTATGTGAATCTGGGCTCTTTGGCTATTGTTAGCTCTGTCTAGTTATTCCTTTCCATTGGTGTAATATGTCTTTAAATCGTGGTGTACGAATTCAGGTGAAGAGTCATAACCTGTTCATTATTCGTGCCCACCTAATAGTTGTCTGCCCACCTTTGCCAGTTGTCTACCTCCTTGTATCTTGGAGTCTCTTCTCTCCTGCATTTTCAATTTTTCTGAAGAGTCTCTTGTGCATTTTGCTTATTCTTGAGCTTCATGGCTTCCTCTCATACTCCTTTGTTCAAATAGAGGGCTCAAGCTACGCTTGGTGTAATTGGGTACTCGGTGTTTCTGCTTCCCTCCGTTGTTACTGTTCCGAAGGAAGAAGAGTTCAGAAAATGGTATCTCCTTCTTGGTGGCTTGGCTATTTGAATTCTCTTGATAGACGATCCTTGCATCTTCCTCCTTTGTTGGGAAGTTTGTTTCTTTGAAAGTGCATTTGAGATGGGTCTACATTTGCCCATCCATCAGGCCATTGTGCAAGTTCTTGCCCATTTCGGGTTGTGCCCTTCTTGCCTCTCCCTAGAGGGGTGGGGTACTCTGATCAATTTTTTTATCTTCTGGTGTTTGCAAGGTTACAGTGACCTTCCCACCATTGCTGAGTTCCTGAATTTTTTTAGCAGCGATTTCAATATGCCCCCCCTATTTTAGTCTCTTCACGTGGAGGCGTGGTTTTGAGCTTCTACCAGTTCTTGATGCCCCTAGCCCTTTAGAGGGATGGACCTAGTGTTTTTTCTTTGGTTTTGGGGATTCCTGAGAATCCTCCAAGGCATGGACTAACCTTGCCCGTGTTTCCCATTCTTGGAGACGTCTTTTATACAAAGGTAAATGAATAATGGCTCTCAGGGATTTCTTTTTCACCCTGGGGGGTCTATGCTTGGTAGTTTTTGTGCAGTCTTAACCGTGCTTGTATCGTGCAAATGGTCTCGTTCTGACCCCAAACGAGTTTAGTAGGGTTCATCGGCTTGCTCTCGCCAAGGCAGCTCCCTTATCCCCACTTGTCACAACACAAAATCTTTTTCAGTTTGGGACTTTTCCCAAACCAGCCGTCCTTCCAATTGCTGTTCATAATCCTCCACTCCTCCTCCTCAATGTGGACTCTTCTCAAAGCAGGACGTGTGAGGATACTGCCACCTTCTCACGGAAGTGCCGATGGGGAGTCCTATCATCGCGATCATCAAATTCCTCCTCTAGTGAGATGGGGCTTACAGCTATTGAGTTGAAGTTTTTGATAGGGAAGGCAAGGCTCGAGAAACAACTTTTCGAGGTTGAGAAAGAGCAAGATGAGCTGAGGGCTGAGAATGTCCGTCTGAGGGAGGTGATTTCTGTTCTAAAATGAAATGCTAGGGGGGCTTAATTTTTTTTTCTTGTTTTGTACTCCTCTTCCATTGTAACTACTTTGCTTATGAATACAAATTGTCTCTTTCCTATCATTGCCTGGATTTTACTTTGTTGATTCTAACTGTTTGGCTTCGAGCTCTTTTGGAAACTCTCGCTGATAAAGCTCTTTTTTTTCGAGCTTGAAAAAGCTCTTAGGCTGAAAATCCTAGTCGAATTTGTGCGGCTGAAGAACTTGCAACTTTTCGAGCTGAAAAGCTTTCTTTCGAGCTTAAAAAAAGCTCTTAGGCTGAAGAGCCTCGTCGAATTTGCGCAGTTGAAGAGCTCACAGATTTTTGAGCTGAAAAGCTCTCTTCCAAGCTTGAAAAAGCTCTTAGGCTAAAAAACCTAGTCGAATTTGCACGGTTGAAGAGCTCGCGGCTTTTTGAACTGAAAAGCTCTATTCTGAGCTTGAAAAAGCTCCTAGGCTGAAAAGCCTAGTCGAATTTGCCCGGCTAAAGAGCTTGCGGCTTTCTGAGCTGAAAAGCTCTCATTCGAGCTTGAAAAAGCTCTTAGGCTGAAGAGCCTAGTCGAATTTGTGCGGCTGAAGAGCTCAAGGCTTTCCGAGCTGAAAAGCTCTCTACCAAGCTGAAAATCTCTCTTTAGAGCTTGAAAAAGCTCTTAGGCTGAAGAGCCTAGTCGAATTTGCGCTGCTAAAGAGCTCAAGGCTTTTCGAGCTGAAAAGCTCTTTTCCGAGCTTGAAAAAGCTCTTAGGCCATAAAGTCTAGTCGAATTTGCGTGGTTGAAGAGCTGCGGATTTTGGAGAACTGTTGCATTCTTACTGTGCAAATTTTTCTTGGCTAGAACTTTGGGAAATTTCATTGATTTGAAGAATGAAAATTTACAATTAACGTAGATTCCCAAGGTCCTACTGGTTGTAATGCTTAAGATGATCTGCATTCCAAGAATGCCGCAGGTCTTTCCCTTTCTTGGTCTGCAGCTCATAATTACCAGAACATACCACTCTCTTTACCAGTGAATCCCAAGTTGTCGAACTACTTTATGTTATCTGAAACTATGGCTTTAGGAATGTTGAATCGATAGATTATCGACTTCCAGATGAAGTTCCTAACTTTCTGCTCAATTATCTTTGTCAGTGCTTCAGTTTCTGCCCACTTCGTGAAGTAATCTTCAGTGATTATGGAAAATTTGCATTATCTAACACCAATTGGCAAGGGCCCTAAGATGTCTAGCCCACACTGTTTGAAGGGCCAAGGACTGACAACAGGTATGAGTTGCTCTGGAGGACGACGTGGCAAGTTTTTGTGAACCTGGCATGCCTGACACTTCTTCACCATTTCCTTCGTGTCTTTGGCCATCGTGGGCCAAAAGTATCATTGCCTGAGTACTTCGGCGGCTAGGATCCGAGCTTCAATGTGATTTTCACATATGCCCCTGTGAATTTCCCTCAGGATGTAGCTTCCATTTTCAAAACACATCTCATTAGTGGAATGGAAAAACCTCTTTTATATAACTTACCTTGCACAACAGTGTCTCTTGGCTTCAATTTTGCTGCTTCTTTCTTGTCACTTGGGAGGAAACCGTCTTGTAGGTGAGATATGATGGGGTCCATCTATGAAGTGGTCTCCTCAATCGGCATGGCTTGGTCTTTGTTAGGTTGGACACTGGGTTCAAGTAAAATCTCGACGGGAGTTGTACTAGATAGGTCGTGCTCAACTAAAGCTAACTTGGCCAATGCATCGGCTCAGAAATTCGCTTCTCTTGGCACTTGGACAAGCTCGGTTATAACAAATCTCCTCAACAAACTTCGCACTTTCCTTACATATAGAGCCATTTTGTCATCCTGAGTTGCATACTCTTCTTCCACTTGTCTAACCACCAACTGTGAATCGCTATGGATAGTGATTTTTTGCGTCTCCATCGACAAGGCTATGTTAAGGCCAGCTATAAGAGCCTCGTATTCAACCTCATTGTTGGAGGCTTGGAAGTTGAATCTTAGAGCGTATTCCAGGACATATCCCTCAGGAGAGGTCAGAATTAAACCAGCTCCGCTTCCTTGCGCATTTGAAGCGCCATCCACATACAACTTCCACGTCAGGAAGTCAAAGACACAATCCAAAATTTTCATCTGTTCTATAGGTACTGGAGTAAACTCCGCCACAAAATCTGCTAGCACTTGGCCTTTTATCGCCGTTCTTGGTTTGAACTTGATGTCAAACTCAATGAGCTCTATTGCCCATGTCACTAGTCTCTCGGGTGCCTTGGGCTTATGTAGAACTTGCCTCATGGGTTGATCAGTGGGGACTTCGATGGTGTATGCCTGGAAATAAGGCCTCAACCTTCTGGCTGCAGCGAGGAGGGCTAAGACAAACTTCTACATCTTAGGATACTTTCTTCGGCCCCTTGAGGGCCTTGTTGCATAAATAGATCGGCTGCTAGGCTTTTTCTCTGCCTTTTACCAGGGCGGCATTGACTAAAAAGTCTAATACAGTAAGATAAAGGGTTAACACTTCTTCCTCTCTTGGGTTAACCAGTGCAGTCAATGAGATTAAATAGGTCTTGAGGGCTTGAAAAACTTCTTCACATTTCTCATCCCATTGGAAGGCGGCCTTTAGAACCTTGAAGAATGGCTGACACTTGTCGTTGGAGCGTGAGACAAATCATTGAGTGTTGCTACCCTCCTGATGAGGCATTACACTTCTCGAGTGTTGATGGGTGATTTCATTTTTAGAACTGCTCTTAATTTCTTGGGGTTTGCTTCAATCCCTCGACTGTTCACTATGAACCCCAGAAATTTTCCTGCTGAGACTCCGAAGGCACATTTAGCTGGGTTCAGTTTCATCTTGTATCGGTGCATGATCTCGAACGACTCCTTTAGGTACTGGACGTGAAGTTCAGATTTGAGGTACTTGACCAGCATATCATCAATGTAAACTTCCATCGTCGATCCAAGTTTTTTCGAAACATCCGATTAACTAACCTTTGGTAGGTGGCTCCAGTATTCTTTAATCCAAATGGCATGACCTGATAACAAAAAATTCCCTGCTCCATGACCGACAATGTCATCTCCTAGTCATTAGGATCCATCTTAATTTGGTTGTAACCCAAGAAAGCGTCCATGAAGTTGAGGAACTCATGCTTAGCCATGGCATCGACTATCAAGTTAATCTTGGGTAGAGGAAAGCTATCCTTAGGGCAGGCACAATTAAGGTAAGTGAAATCAATAAAGAACCGTTATTTCCTGTTTACCTTGTTGACTAGTACCACGTTGGCCAACCAGGTCAGGTAATCAACCTCCCTGATTGCCTTTGCTCACCGTAGCTTGGCCACCTCCTCGTTAATCACTTTCTTTCTTTATGGAGTAAAATTTCTCCTCTTCTGCCTAACCGACTTGCATTTCGGGTCAACACTCAGCTGGTGCACAATTAATCCTGGGTCAATTCCCTACATATTCTTTTGTTTCCAGGCGAACACGTCGGCATTTTATTTCAAGAACAGAATGAGCTTGTCTTTGATATCTTGGAGCAGTATAGAGCCTATAAAGACCACATGTCTAGGGAGTTCGTCTATTTATACGAGCTCCAACTACTTCGAGGGGGTTGATCAAGTTTCCACTTCGTACTTCATGTCCAAGTCCTCCAGCTGAACAGATTCTACTTCTCTCTGCCTTATAGTATTCCTTATTGAGGCGTTGATCTCCTCTCACCACTCCAACCCCGTTTTCTGTAGGAAACTTCATAACTAAGTGATATGCCAATGGGAAGACTTTGATGGAGTTAAGGGAGGGCCTCCTGAGAAATATATTGTAGGTAGAAGGTGTGTCCACCACCAAAAAGCAAACTGTAGTGGTGACTTGGCATGGGTGGTCCCTTAGGGTAAGAACTAGCTAGATAGAACCAATGCGTACGACCCTTTCTCCCAAGAAGCCTAGGAGATGGGTTGTTACTGGTTCGAGCTTTGATTTGTCTATTCCGAGTTGACCAAAGGAAAAGAGGAAGATGATATCTGTCGAGCTTCCATTGTCAATCGGCATATGATGGACAACCTTGTTTGTAATAATGACCTTTTCCACCAATGGATCATCATGCGGGTGCTGACATTCATCTAGGTCGGCATCTGAGAAAGGTATTTCTACATCCTTGCGTAGGGCTTTCCTAATTGTTTGTACCTCAAGAAGGTCATCTGATCTTACCCTCTTGGTGTGTACCTCAAGAAGGTCAACCTAAGATGACCCTGATTTCAACAAGGGCCTGTTGGTGCTATTGCGGGAACGGCACGACCACCTAATTATCTTTCTCTCTCTCGATCATTCTTTTCTCTTCCTTCTCTAGCCACATAGTGCCGTAAATGGCCTCTCTAGATCAGGTACTCTATCTCCTATTTCAACTAAATGCAATCGTCGGTCTCATGGCCAGTATCTTTGTGGAAATTGCATTATTTGGTGGGATCTCGTCTCCTAAGGTCAGATTTCATCCGTGGTGGCCACCTGACGAACCTCTCGTTCTGGACCTCATGGTGGACTTGAGAGATGGAGGCATTCAGTGGCAGAAGCTGAGTTGGAACATGTCTGGGTTATAATTCCTGAGGTGGAGGTCCAAGGCAGTATTTTGCATTACCCCTCTGCTTTGGGAAAGGCTCTCTGTTTCTTCTGGGAGATCGATCTCTCCTTGGGGATTGATCGCATCTCCTTTCTTTCCGGGTATCCATGTAGTTCCATATGGTTTTTATATGAGTTCAAGTGATCCATTCGATCCTTTGTTTCATTGAATGCCTCTGTTAGCGACATCCTAAACTTCTGAGGAAGGGAAAAATGGAGGATCTCAGAGGTGAAAGGTGATTCGATTTGCTGAACTAAAGCATCCATGGTGACAGGAGCTTTCCCTGTAACCAATTCTCTCACGTTTCTGAGTTCCAGTTGGATCTTACGGAATTTCTGTTCCTAAAAACTGGTCCATGGCTTAATGTAGAGGCAAAGGTCATTTTTCTCTAGGCACGGCTCTA